TTGTCAGACTTTGTCTTAATGTATTTCCTCCCTTTGGCTGTGATCGCTCCCCTGCCCTCTGTTCACTGGCGTAAGAAAGACCATGTCATGCTTTCCTTGCCAGACGTAGGAGAGCAGGAAGAGGGTGGGAGAAGAGCAAGGGAGAACTTTACCATTTTTATATTGTGTGGTGTGTGTTGGATGTTAGAATGTAGAAAAATGGATCTGCTCATCAATAAACAGATATGAGAAGAAATTACTTATTTCATCATTCTGGCAGGTGATAAGCCTGCAGCCATTTATCAAATGTCCGCTAGAAATAAATGTCTGTTGTCATTTTCTCACTTTTAATAACATTATACCTCTCTCTAATTTTAGCTGTTCATCTCAGCTGCTACCTTTTTTCTTTTTTTTTTTTCTTTTTGAAAGAGTGAGCTTAGAAGAGAAGGTATAATTTAATGAGGCTTCCCCCTTTCTTTGGCAAGCCAGCAAAATGATTGTAAAGAACACCAAATTAATTATTTGGATTTATAAAAACAGAAGAAGCCCACTTGCTTAAAGTAGAATAAACACCAAGCAGTTGCACTTGGCTTTTCAGTGGCTTTGAATTTGAGTTTGCTTTTACAGCAACACCAGCAGCATTCTTCCAGCTTGCTAACCCACAGCCTCTACTACATTTTTCTGTCAGTCACCCCTTGGGGGACTCCTTGTCCCTCCTGTGTGTACCAGGTAGAGGAGGTGAGGGCCTTATTCCCTTATCAGCAGTAAACCTTTCGTACAACTCTAGAAAGCATGAACTGAAGTTCTTCAGTCCTTCAGCAAGCGTGGCTGGTAGTCAACCTACTGGAAGCTTTACTTAAGTGGAGGAAGGTTTTTACGCAGTTTGGTATGACAGTGAATAATACCATCTCTTCATTAGCACCTGCTCTATCCCAATAGCAAAATAACATTATTCTAGACTACTCCCACACTTTCAGCTTGCAATATGACTGTGTCTAATTATACTGCATGGGTTATCAGCAGCAGAGCTGGAGCTTTTGGTAGTCAAGTTTGGGATAACTGGAGTTTGAGCCTTCTGGAAAGACGTGGTAGAAGGTTTGAGGTAGGAAGACAACTACCTGCTACAAGTACACAGATTTATCTGCCTGGAGGTTTATCTAGGTGACCAGAAAAGAGATAGTAAGTGGTTCAGCTGCAACACCAAGGCACATGGGGTGGCCTTTTCCCGTCAGAGCTGTAAGTTTCTCTCAAGGGTGCGTATGGACTGAGGGGGTGGCTGTATCTTTTTACATTCACATTCATGTTTTGACATTTTCTCAATTCTTCTCTTTTTCCCAAGGAGGCTTAGACACTCAGAGCTTGGCCCATAGTGAGGAAAGGAGGCGCTAATCCAAAAATCTTATATTACAGCTTTTTAAAATACAGAGCATGCTTTCTTAGGTTTGCATGGAAGATAGATAAGAATCATCATATATGTGATCCTGCACAATAGATTATCTCTAGTCTGGGGTAAATTCATATTATTCCTAATGTGACAGACTTCTTTGGAGCGGGGGGAAATCACTGCATGCTGCATCGGTTTGGGGTGGGCTCCGCAAGGACACACCTATCACCCTACTGTGTCTTAAAGCCCTGGCTATAACCATCCTGCTCCTGCACGAGAACCTCTTCTAGCTGGGCTATTCTCCCTTCTCCCATAGATACTCTACTCCTGGCCAAGCAGTGGCACAGCTCTGTCTTGTAGCCTCGCAACAGATATTTTCCCGTGAGAGAGGACCTGCAGGCTGGAGTCCTCCTCTAAGGCAGAGACTGTCCTCAAGCTCTGCTCTTGCCTGCCTGAGTGCTCTCTCTTCTCACCAGCTGGCCTGGGATGGGCAGCCTCCCTTCCCTGCCATGGTTTCAAAAGAAAGCAGCCTCACGAAGTATTGCTTGGGCACACCTGCAAGATCTGGGTGGAGTTTTGGCACCTTCTGGCCTCTGTCTGAATTACAGATATTTTTTTACAGAAGGAGGTGCTGGGCTTCTCCAGAGTAGGAGCCTTCAACCCTGTACCGGTGCGTGTGTTTAACTACCCAGTAAAGGCTGCAATTCAAAGCAGAGGCACCGATTTATTTTAGGTGCCCCAAGGCTAGGCACAGCAGAGAACTAAAATGTCTGGATACTTGTTAAGCCTTACAGGCCTATGTTCCTGTGTGGTTGCAATTTCAGTGGAATTTGATTACAGTGCTCTTACTGGGAAGCGTCTAGTCGGGCTGAATTATTGTGTGTCATTGGCAGAAAACAGGACAAATCCAATTATCCCAGTGCCTGGGATCCTTGCAGCAGGAAACTGCTGAGGTGGGATACATCTGGATCATCTCAGCAAGAAGTCCAATGCTTTTTTTTTGCATAGGAAGTAACATAGGTAAAAATAAAATTCTCTGACAACACCAAATCCGCCTACACAAATCCAACGTTCACTGGGGATATCAGCACGTGAACAACATATACCAAATAAGTATTTAAAAAGGAGGGCTTTCTGCAGCACATTTTTAAATGGACCCATCTCCTCCTACTTGCCTTCTCCAGATCTGGCTTTGGAATTATTTACAACATGTTGTGAACTTGTAATCATCTCTGAGATGAGAAAGTATTTCAGCTCTAAAGGGAAGGTGAAATTCCATCACTTTTTGTCATGCAAATATTTTGAAATAGGGAAGACATTCCTTCTTAGCCTTTCAAAGTGGATCATGAGATGTAATTGCAGTAATTTTACTGCACAGCCACAAATACAAACACATGGAAGGCATGTGGGCAGTCCTGCATGGCTGCATGGCTAACAAGGGATGGAGGATTTGTAGATCCTCAACTTCCAAACCCTGGATCAGCTCCAGCCCTGAATGTGGCAGCAACAACTGTCAGATATGTGGCAAAAAAGATCGCATCCCATCATTATCTTTCTAGTGACAGTAGTCCATAATTTTTTTCTCAGAAGGTGATCCACTGTTTAATTACCCCCCCCGTTAGGAAATTGTGTCCTGTTCTTCATCTGAATCTGCCTGAAACCATCTTTCAGGCACTGAATTTTTCTTTTCCTTTTGTCAGTAGTACAAGAAACTCGCCCTGGTTTTAGATTTCTATATGCAAGTATCTATACTCAGCGCTTGAGTCGTGTCTCAGCTTCTTGTCAGTGAGCTAAATAAATTGAGCTCCTTAAGCTTCAAATCATGACTTGTTTTCCAGTCCCTGGAGATACTTGTGACCCTCTTTTGAACTCTCTCCCCCTCTCTGTCCTCATTATTTCCATATCTTTTCTGAGGTGTGGACAGCAATGTATGAATAGCCATAAACAGTCAGACCAAAGGTGTATCTAGCCTCGTGTCCTGCCTCTGGCAGCACTTCCCACAGATGCCACAGGACAATTAACAACAGTGAAAACAAGGTACTGCTTTCTTCCCTGCTACCTGCTCCAGCATCCAAGTGATCTGCAGCTCATTGTGCTACACACATATGCTCTTAACCTGAACCGGGATCACTTCCCATTTTCTGCTTGACGTTCCTGGTTGTATGGATCCAGGGACCACCTTAGCATATTTCTTGCTATTGCAGTGCCTCAGAAGCTCACGTTGACCCGCTGTCTGTGAAATTTTTTAAGACCTCCATGGAGCTGCAGCTTTCCAAGACAGCTTGCTAGCTCTAGCAAACAGAACTTGCAGTCTGATGGAGCCAGTACACACGATCCTTCAAGCTAACCTCTTGCCCTTGACTCTCAAGTCCGAAAGCCACCATGTGTTGCCTCCTGCACAGACTGCATTGAACTAGGATGTGAATTTTTCCAGAAGGAAACATTCTGTGCCCCCAACTTACAAGTTGCAGAGTGCAGAAGGTGAGGTATTAGTATTTGACTTCAGACCGCTTCCAACTCTAGCTGCTTTTCACCTCCTATTTGGAGAGTAAGCCTTGCCTGCTTTCCAGAGGTTTTAGTACAATGGACTCCAGCCTACTGTAACGTGCCTGCAGTAATGTTACCTGAAAGCTTTCAATGATCGAGGTGTTCTAAAAAGTGTGAGAGCTACTTAAATTAAATAAAATATATTTAAATGTGTCGTCGGCTCCTGGATTTTTTGAGACTATCTGCAGAGAAGGTTTAAAAAATAAAACCAGCATTTACTGTCTTTCTAAAAGAAAACTGAGATTCTCTCATAATAGCATAATTACTCCAGGTGTTAGGGCATTAAAAATAACAGCAACATTATAGAGGAAGGAATGAGTTGGCAGTACTGCCACCACCCTTATTTCCTAGGACTTCCAAATGAATGTGGGAGAAATCTTATCACATTCACATCTCCAGGTGTGCAGGTGTTTCCACACCACCACCTGTTTGCTCTGGTACACACCTCCCCCCCAACTCCTGCTCTTCTTCATGCAGTCTCACCCCTGAATCCTGTCTCTGCTCCTCAGCATCACAGGCACAGGCAGAGACATCCCAGCTTCCTTTATCTACAGCCGTTGCCTGCACGCAAGACCTACCCCCTCATCCACGCGTACATATCCCAAAGTCAGTGCACACACACCAAACCCCACACTTGCACACGGCATCACTTAGTGTTTTATCCTGGAGATGGGATGAGACACAGAGGGTTCCCGTTGTCCAGGCACTTACGGTGCCCGAGTCCTTTTGAAGGGGGATTTCAGCAAAATGTCTTTTGCAGCTTGCTGGGGTTTAGGAGCTGCCAGCTAGGTGAGTATGGGTCTGAGCTGCTCTTTCCCAAATCGAGTGGTTGTGATGGATTATATTTATACCTCCACTGTTCCAGCCTTTGACAAACCGTCCCACACATCTGTTATATTAGAAGGCTTCAACCTAATATTTTTTGAGCTGGGCATATGGGAACATGATTATATCATCTTTATTTGTTTTTCTCCATTCATTCTCACTCCTCCGTTCTTCCCTCTCCCCACCATTTATCATTTAAGGATCCACTGAAATATTACATAGTGTTTTTTACTCATCACCGTCTTTTTTTCCCCCTTGTCGACAGATGCTTACCCCAATTCTGAAGTGATCTATGTGTGGACTAATAGCACCACAACATCTGTGGTGGTGGCTGAAGATGGTTCACGACTTAACCAGTACCACCTGATGGGACAAACTGTAGGAACTGAAAACATCAGTACCAGTACAGGTAGGGAGAATATTTCCACCCTATGGTTGCTGACAGCAGGAGCAGGAGGGGAGATCCACCAGCTCCGGTTATTTTGCAAGGAGGCTAGGGAAGCATCTGTGGGACGTGGGGTGTTAGGGAGATCCCGTGCAGGTTCCTGGCTGTTTAGGAGAGGCACTGAAACACTGAAAGGGTTATATGCTGGCTCTTCGGTACATCGCAAGGCTGTTACTGAAGATGCATGCAAGCCCCTGCTATTTAACAGGAGCACTGGAGAAGCTGCATGCAGCTTCTTGGCGACCGCCTTTGCTGAGGCTGCCAGCGCTATTGCTGGCTTATTTCCCTGTGGGAGGAACCTCCCTGGGAGGCAAACACCACCCACGCATTTGATCCATTTCAATCATTGCTTTAAAATGATTTGCTTGATGAAACCGCACAGTGGGGGAGGGAGCGGAGGGCAGGTGGGGGCTGTGGCATGGCTCTGCAGCGTGTCCGGGGGACCACGTGGCTGGAGAGGAGGTGCAAACCCCGAGGATACCCATTTCCTCCTGGGCTGCAAGCGGAGGCACCAGATGTGGCAGCATTAGGGAGGCAAAGAAGCTTTAATCCCAGGCCAGGCACCCACATGAGCCGTGCCCCCCTGCTTCTTAAGGCTCCCATGCAAGGGCAGCCCTGGGTGCACATTGGCGGGGGAACTCCCGGGGCGGGCGAGGC